TAAGACCTCAGACCATTCCGTAGATAAAGAGGAAAAGGGTAGAAAAGCCTACATTAAATTGATTTAAGGACAAATTAATCATCACCTAGATCTCCTTTCTTCTTTTTTGGCCCTCTTACATGCAAATCTTTTAACTAAGGCACTCCTTGATTTACACAAATAGGCTGCCATCCTTGGTAAACATCAAATTGCAAGCATCTACTTTGCATAATGCAAATTTTAATAACATAAAGCTCTTTCATGTTCAAACAACATAATAAAACCCAGAGAAGAGATTGAACTAGCAATAACATGCCTCAACTGATAAATTTTTTGGAAGGAGAAATAAACCACAATAATGGGGGACAATCCAAACCATGCTAAGAGCACAGGATTCAAAAACAGCAAATATTATAGTTACATCACAACTCGAATGCCGTAAAACCGAATCTTGACCTAGACAACAACGACAACAGTATATGTTCTTTTGTTTTAGCCATTACTTGCACATAGAATTACATTTACATGTACAACTTAATGGAAACAAGCATGTCATATTAACCCTGCCAGTTTATGACTAACAAATGATATTATAATTCAGAATTACCATTAATTACAGAAGGAAATCTCCACCTTTAGACGAAATAACTACAAGCCAAACAACTTCAACAACTTACTTTGGAGTTGGTGTCGACTTTAAAGTCAGTCGTAATGTTTTTATTCTTCAACTGCGTGTTGACATCACCCAGAAACAATTCACCCTTCTTTAGTCCAGATGCTGTAATGGCCTGAAAAAATAGCAAATATATTTACATATTTGCGCTCTAGAAAAGTAAAAAATGTATGCAGCTCAAGTAGCAGCACGCAAACAATAAATGCTATTAAAAAGCTCTGACTAAAAGCACCGACTTGCAGAAAAATTTAAACCCCGTACTAATGCCCTGGATATTGACTCAATGACAGATAATTTATTAGTCAATGAAACAACGTATTAACCTTCATAGCACAAACTAAAATAAACTTCCAGGTATCAACAACTAATATAATGACTGAGATTGACAGTATGACAGTGTATTTTGGACCTTAAAACCTCTCCATATGTGAATAACAAAGAAATCAATGTAGAAGTGATGATGGATGTTGCTATCTTAAACTGCAGCCTATGTGGTCTTCCAGGAAAATGGGCAAAGCTTATTAGACAGTTGGAAAACTTGTTTCGAAAGTTATAACAATACCATAAAACAACTTTTTTTCCTGGAATAAGAGTATTCTCAGTTGTTTTAAGCTGCAGATGTGCAAATTAGAAAGAGAAGTTCTTCTCTCTCCAAAAATATAATATTTGTAAAAAAAATACACAAAAGAACCAAAGCCGGAACATTTTACACAGTGATGCTTCTAGAGTACCAGCATTTTCTATAATTCTTTGATTGACCAATAGTATTAACCAATGGAAAGGCTGCCATACTCCCCTACAGGAACTCTTTCACAAGAGTACCTATCAACAGCAGAGCCTAATAACTGCCTTGACAATAAATTGCAAGAAGAACAATACATGACCTCATCAATCATGATTCATGGATAAAAGGATCATGGATTAATAATATGATCAATCATGACCTGATGATCGTGATTCGTGGGTCATAACAAATACAGGGAGATATAATAATTTCCCTTGCTTTTCATCCACACCAGAGAAATCAGGCATGAACACTTCCCAAAAGCTCTATTTTTTTGTTTTTTTTTGGGGGGGGGGGGGGGGGGGGGGGGGGAAGAGGGAGGGGTTGAGTGGGTGGGGGACCAAATTAATAATTTGCAAGTCCAAATTGTACACAGTTAAGTGACATTTAAACTTAGCATTTCAAAGTAAATAAAGCCAAAATAACGACATTCTCCCCATGTTCTTCTCCTTTGTCATTATTGCAACAGTAGCTAAAACGAAAATATTTCCTCTTCCATAAGTAAATCGAAGAGACTACTTTTTCCAGCTGCAATATTTCACGAAACTCCAGCCGAAAAGCACATCACACTTTCAGAAACAACACTCATCGGCAAAATAAGTTCATACATACATGACCCATTTGAACCCATACACAGAAACGTATACAAAAAACACATAAACCAGTACAGAGAGAGAGAGAGCCCACCACTCCATTGGGACTATAAGTGGTAACGCTGAATTTGTGGTCGCCCTGATAATCCTTGTACAAAAGATCTAACAGACAAAACATCAAACATCTTGTGAGTACAGTACGAAAATCCTCGAAACTTAACAAAACAGGACTACAATTGAAAGAGGAAAGGATAGATAACCTCGGGCTCTTTTGCCAATATCGGAGTAGAGGCCGGGACCCTTCACCATTTTCCGCAGCTAAATTTCGACTGAGGAGGGAGAAAGAAGGGTTTGGTTGGCGGCGTTGGGTGGTAAGCTGCGACGGGGAGTTTGACGGGGAAAATAGAGACAGAGAATATGAGGCTGGATGTGTTGGAAAATGCTTCCAAAACTTTTAACCTAGTTTATTACGCTGATTTTTCTTGGCCGTTGTATTATTTTGGGAGAGGGGGGAATGTTGTGGGCCGTCGGTTATTTTGAAAGAATAGAAAATTGAGTAAAAAAGAACTTGTTAGATTGGCAACGGGAAAAAAAAAACAAAAAATAACAGGTTCCTTCATGTCTTTTTAATTTAATATGGCAAAAATCAACAAAACTACATTAAATATTTGGTTAATTTACAAATATCCCTTGAGGTTTGTGATAAATTACAAGGGCTTGCCAATTGTCCTCGTGGATAATGTAACAAGAGGGATTGTTTGTGAATGTGAGACTTTTTTTTGGGGTTTATTGTGAACTGTGTTGTAATGATTTTACTAATTTTCAAGATAATTATCGTAGCGACAATTTCTACCTCATGCAAATCTAAGAAAGAGGATATTCATATGTACATTTGTTTAATAATGTACCTAATTTTGTTTTTCCTTAATTGAGGAGGAAAGATATTTATCAAACATCAAATAAAAAAAAAAAAGTGCCAAATTTTGTAAAAGATGGGATTGGTGAGATTTAAAAGTCCTTGCAATCGCTTGTAATATAAACATATTTTTCAATCCACTTTTTTATATTTTTAATTATTTTTTATCTGATATATATCACGTCACAAAAAGTGTTACAGTAATTATTTCAAATAATATTCTATCCAAACAAATCCATACACATTGCACGCACTTCGGTTAATTGAGAACACCGTAGAATGTGCAATTCTTGATTTTGCCATGCTCTGAGAATAAGTCACGGCTGTGAGCTCATTTGTCGGATGCTTCTTTCAAAATGAATAATAGAACTATGAGCAAAAGGCAAAAGATACTCCTTATATTGCAAATATTTGCACGCAATAGAAGGAGTGAACGCCAAAAAGAAGAAGAAAACCATCACCATTGGCTGCCCTTTAACTTTGAGCAACATAAGCCCCCATCCCCAAAGCCAACCCTCTAATATGTATTCTATGCACCAAAAAACAAAAACGAAAACAAAAAAAAAGAATGCCACTCATTATTGCCATTTTATTAGCAAGCAATGGAGATTTTTGAGGGGGGAAATTTTCAATTAGAAAGAGAGACAGAACATATGTCACAGAGTGGCTAAACTTTGCAATAACTAAAGAAAGCTTAAACAAGGATACAAAGTCTAGACTATATACATACAAATCGACACAAGATTCCATACAAACCTTGAAGAACCATTCTGGAACACTTATGGTCTAGAATTTTATGTCATCTTTTTAGTCATAATCACCTAAGAGAAATCCTACTGTCTTTTGTAAACTCTCCGGCATTGTTGATTGCAGATAAAAGTCCTGCGGTGGCGTATGGTTTTTCCACAGAGGGCTGGTTGTCCACTGACCGCATTGGATCAATTAATGCTTCCTCCAGTTGTTTATGATAATCAGCTTCCACGTTTAGAATCAAGGGACGTCCTGAACGGTCTTGATAAATATCGCTCGCTCGCTCGCTCCAAAACTTATGCTTGGCACTAACTCCTCTGTTGCAAAGGATCCATTGCCATTTTGATCATGGCCATAGTGTTATGATAATCACAATCATCTTCAATATTGAGTTCAACTGGGGGACCTTGATGATGATCCTCATTAATTAACTGCTTGCTCCTTTCTTGATCGTCTAAAGGTGGTAACAACTCGTCAATGTCAATTAAGTCGCGATCAACATCTCGACCTTGATCTTCATCACGCATATGATGGCTCCCTCATCATGATTTACGTCTTCAGAAATCATACTGAACTTTTGCTGCGGCCTCTTCTTGACGCGACAAAGAACAATGTTTGGGATAGAATCCTTAAGCCTAAACTCATCCATAATATATCCACCATGAATGCCCTTACCATAATATATCCCAGTTTAGTTGATAGGCCATTAAAGCTCACACACAGCTAACAAATTTTTATCTTCCTTTAATTTCTATAATTTGTACACATCACTATTTAGAGAGATTACAACTGACTTGTGTTCGAGTTGGCATGGCCGTCTAAATAAATCTCATTGATTGTTAAGGACCAAATAGTGGAACCAATGGGTTGAAAGGTTGGTTTACCAATGGGCACCAAGATTCTGAACAGTAAATGTTCAAAATAAGTATTCGAATTAGCCAGGCATAATCTTATTAACTTGTTCTGGTATGTATGATGATTAATAGTAATCTCATCAGAAGTTGAGATTGATTTCCGAAACTTTTCATGGGGCTAACATTCGGTTCTAAGTTGAAGGGCTTTTGTTCAAAGAACTCGGGGGAGGAAAAGTTCGTTTCATCAAGAATTCCACACCATCTTCCCCCCCGTCCTTCGAACCCGGGGAGGAAAAGTTATTTTTGATCAATCATTCCTTACAACATCCCCCCCCCCCTTTTTTTTCCTTCCCTCTCCTTCATGCATCGTGGTGATTGTCAAAAGTTCTGTTCCAGCAAACAGGCATCCATTTTACGACTCAAGGCAAAGGAGTTCACGTATTCCAAACAATGAGCCCAATAAGAAGTTGAAATATACATGCTAAAAATTTGTACCCAGACCGTCAGACGATTACCAGATTGGACCTTTTTCTTTCCCCTTTCTGCATGAGAACGCAGGAATCAGGGATGGGGGAGGAGTAGAGATAGGAGGGTTTCTTATTTGGATACAGATAAATATTTTCTCCACTAAATTCAGCTGTGCTTACATTACATTCTTTCCCAAAAGGAAGTTACACCACTCAAGACCACAACATCATAAACCATGCTCTTCCATTCCCTTTTCCAGTCATCATCTAAAACACCAGGGGGCCAACAAATCATGCTCGTGATTTGGGGAAAGAAAAAGAATGTGGATTGGAAAAGAAACGCGTCCTGGGAACTCCAGTCCACCCCTATTGTTTACCATTCGGTTTTGGTGAGTTTTGAGGAAACTGATGATGATACGGAGAAGCATGAGAGCCATTTGGTATGGAAAGACTCCTAGGATGTTGTCCATTTCTCGTGAATGATGCAACTTGTGATCTTATACCATTTCTGGTGTTTGGACTGGATCCTACGCGATCAGTTTGCATGGTCTGAAAATAGTAGGATGAGCTGGCCATGTCCTTGAGAGCAGGCAAAGGTCTCAAGGCTTCCACAACTTCACTCATTAGCGGCCTGGCTTTTGGGTCTCGGCCAAGGCAGCGAGCAGCCAATTGTGCAGCTTTCTGTGCACCTTTAATCGAAAAATGGCCTTCCAGCCTAGGGTCTATCAATCGATAAAACCTTCTTCTCTCGCCAAGATGAGGCCGGGCCCACTCTACCAGGTTATGCTCCCCGTTAGGCCGGTTCTTGTCCATCGATCTCCTGCCTGTTAGCATCTCAAGTAAAACCACGCCAAAGCTGTAGACATCACTCTTCGACGTAAGGTGCCCTGAGAAAAAAATTACATGTCTGATTAGAAATTAACAGCTAAATACACAATGATCACGTAAGTTGCAGCCACCAAACACTCGACTCCATAATGAAGCTCAAGAAAAAGAGAAGCTAAACACGCTATCCATAATTTCAAGTATTGTTCTACCACATAAAAATCTTAGTTATTAGAATTACTGATGATTTAGTGAGAAAAGCTAGTCTAGCTCCAGCTTTCTGTGTGAGATTCAATGTATTGACATGATTGCGCTCCCTTGGTCCTATGAAGACATCGAATATAAGTAGCACGTAGAATAGAATACTCAGCAGCCAAGCATATATAATCAAACAGATGAATGTCCTATGACCATGTTAATTGGGCTTTTATTTGAAGTAGCCAAGTTCCATGCCAATTCAAACGGTAGCAAGAATAATGACCACAGATATGCCAGAAGCCCCTCATTCTCACAAGACAAGCGGGCACACACGGCAAGGGAAAATTGTGAGACAACAAGGGGTCGGGATTAGCATATTTTCCAACAGCAGTGAAACATCCATCACTACAGGTCAAGCTTTGGAAAAGACAAAATTAAGCCTCCAATATGATTGAATAACCTACTTTTATTGCCTTCACAGCCGCCTTTTCTATCTTTCTTTCTTCTCTAGAGGAATAGCATGCAAGAAACAAATATCAATAATAATTATAACAAGAGATCAAGATTACCTGTCATCACATATTCTGGGGCCGCATAACCATATGTTCCCATCACACGAGTAGAGACATGAGTCTTATCCCCCTCTGGACCATCCTTGGCAAGTCCAAAATCAGAAAGCTTGGCATTGTAATCCTACAAACAAATGATGTTTTATTAGGTAAAGGGTAAATGGCCCAATTGCAGTTTAGTTCTCTGTGCTTTGTACTGATCTCAATTTAGTACATCATATCTTGCACTCGCCATATTTTAGCCCAAGCATATTTTAGTCACAACCTACTTTTGTCCCTCGTGTTTCACTAATGGCATAATTAATCCCCAATATCCTAAGGTTTGATTATTTTTGGTTATTTAGCTATAAAGCAAACATACAAACTGTAAAACACAGTGGACGAAATACTGTCAAGTAAAAACATGGTGGACTAAATTGATACATATACACAACATAAGCAATCAAATGTCTTAAAAGTTGCAAAATAGAAGAGTAAAATGGAACCAGAGCAGAATTTTGAAGACTCAAACAGCATTTCCCAGAATGATAATACAAGTTAATTCATATAAATCCTGAAGTGTTGATCACATACTGCATCTAACAGGATGTTTGAGGTCTTGAAGTCACGGTATATAACTGGCCTCTCTGCTTCCTCATGGAGAAATGCAAGACCTTTTGCAGCACCTAGAGCAATTTTCATCCTGATAGACCACGGAAGAGGAAGGGACCCTGCACAAAAAGAACAGGAGTTAAATTGAAGTAAAAATGGAAAATCATACGCAAAGCCAGTATTTACATTTACGTTGCAATAGCACCACAGTACCAACAACAAAGTGAATGAAGTGAATACTTGGTACCGTCAGATTAAAATTACACCTCTGATACCAAGCTCAAAAATGGTACAGACAATCAGAGAACTAGACAAGGATGAAGATAGGAAACAGGATTGTGAAAGATGTCCACAGTTTGCTTTATTTCCATCATAATATTATGTGAAGGCATTAAGCATGTAGCTAAGGATATTTCAACAGTATTACTATCCCTCACCATGATCTATGAGTATTATCATTCAATGAATCTGACTCTGATCAGAAAAAGGATTGGGTAAGTGACACCTACATAACATTGACCATTGATATCCAGAAACCAATACTCAAACCAATATTCAAGAACAGAAAACAAAAACAGTAGGTAAAGTTGAAGATACATGTCCTTACTACATCCTCGCTTTTTACTCATATTCTCTTTTACTCCAATACTCTTTCTGGCACCCAAGCACCTCCATCAAACCAGGACTAGAAACACCATTTTTCCCCTTTTATCATGGAAAAACCTACTACTCAAGGGGAGGATGATGGAAGACCAAACCAGTTAAAGAATTGGTAAAGAAATTCATTAACCATCTGAGACAACCCTAATTCATAATTAGGCAAGAATTGATGTATGTTTAGTTAAAGAGATAGCATTAGAAATTTCAAGAGTCAGCCAACCTGCATTCAAGCATCAATGGAACAATAAAATGAGCAACACTCTGAACTAAAACAGAATGAATTGGTAATACATAAAGAACTTTGGAGAATAAGTAGCAAGGCCATTCAGCCAGTACAGAAATAACCATACCATTTCTTGAAGCTTGTGGGACCACATTTAATAAAATACAGCGAACTCCAACATGACAAATATAAATACCCCGTATCCTAAATGGAAGCCCACACAGGGAGGCACATGCATAAGTCCATATAAATCATAATTAGCACTTCAAACATATTCCTCAACAAGATGGGTTACAAGCTTGTCATTTTATTATTTATTTATTTATACACTTTTTGGTTTTGTAGAACCGGTATAAGCTTGTCAAATGTCATACATAGACAAGATGATCTCTTCAAAGTATCACTTTTACAATTCAACATGAGGAGGAGAAGAAACTATCATTGAACAAAATTTACAAGAGTACTAATTACATACTCCTAAAGAGATGGTTCTCCAAGCTTCCCCGAGGCATGAACTCATAAACTAGCAGTCTTTGATCATCTTCAATACAGTAACCAATAAGCTTAACCAAATTAGGATGGATAAGATCGCCAAGAAAACTTACTTCGGCCTGCCAAATTTAATTAAAAATTTAGAATGACCAAAAGTTAACAAGGACAAATTAGAAAAACAGCATCAAAAGCAAAGTTATTCAAGAAAGCATCAAACCAGCCATTCTTTGTGACCCTGAAGCCCATCATGATTGAGAGTTTTCACAGCAACGGTAAGCCCCGTTCCAGGTTTCACTGGCGCTGTTCCATTCTCTTCAATCCATCCCTTAAATACACAACCAAAACCTCCTTCACCAAGAAGAGACTCTGGTCTAAAATTTCTGGTCGCCAGTTTCAGATCATTAAATGTGAACTTTCGAAGCCGAGAAGCAACCTTTAGCTCCTCTTCAAGTTTGGATGTGGATGAATTACTTTCTGCAGTACTGGTGGCTGTCGAAGAAATTATTGCAGCAGCTGGTTGATCTCGACTAGTGTCATTTGCAGACTTGGTTTCTGCAGACATGCACAAAAGTGGAAAACATAAGGTACAGGATATAATCTTGTATAGAAGAGAAAACCTAGGAAGAATTTATCTTGTTTAGCAATTAGCATTTAGCACACAGTATTCTTGAAGACTATCACATTCCAAGAAATCACAGCCATGTGCTACACAGGGAAAATACTAGACAAAGGCAACCAGTATGGAGACATCACTGAGCAAACATGAGCAAGTAGTCAGACAGCACTACAAGAGAATCAATGGAAGGTTCTGAAGTGGTTCTATGAGATGCTTGACTTAAACAACAGAAAGCAATAACTTTAATCCCATTAAATGAGGTACTCTCATATCTGCAGCGAGAGGCTGGAAACATCAGAAGTTTGAATAACCACCTGCCAATTGGTGCTTATGTGCAACCAAGGATAAAATGTCTCCCTTCGTCTCTTATCCCTGTTATTATCCATGCGTGTCATGGGGATATGTTTGACTAAAAGGCATCAAAAATCAAATACATTTCCCAGCACTGACATTATTTGGACCATTCAAATTGATTTCCTAGCAAATTACAACCCCTTAATTGAATTGGTTTCTGCAACTATACTAGAAAACCTCAATTTCCATTAAGTATAGAAATTTCAAATACTTGGTCAAAATCATTAAGGGCATGCCCAGAATATTAATTTGATTTACCAAAAATGGGTTACAGTGGCAATCCATTACTGTCATAAGCTACAATAAAGAAATAATAAAAAAGGACTTTCAAGTACTCCTTAAGATTTTTTCTTTCGCAAATTGTAGTCTAAAGACTAGCAATTCTGTCAAATTTAACAATTTCAATACCATTTCCTTTTAATAAAAGGATGTATCCCACATTGGTCCATGGAAGAGGTTGCAATCCATGTATAGAATATACAAATCTCATGATATAAATATCCAAAAAGATTAAAACGGAATAAGCTACAAACATTGAGGTACTCTATCCATGAAAAAAGCAAAGACCTCCCCCACCCCACAGCCAACAAAAGGACAATTAGATTATACTGGAAGTCTTATTTGTGTTTTGATTTCTTTTACCTTCCCTCCAATTTTTGTCTCATTTTCAGGTTTTCAAGGGAAGAAATGGTGGGACTGGGACAGTGAAAGCTACCTGCCTACCGATAACACCATCTGACTTCAATTGCTCAAACCAAAATCTGAAATTTCTCATGAGGCATTGCTTATATCACCTAGAGCTTGGCATACCAATAAGTAAAGAACACGTGAAATCACGAAAAAAAGATGATGACCATGCTCTGGAATCTGGAGAAAGGACAACATGCTCAAGCGAATTAAGTAAAACACACAAGCAGAACATGTACGCACAATTTCACCACATATGATACGAAAGTGTTCATGTAGACTGAGAACAAGCTTAGCTGAAACAATTAACTCAACCTTAATCAGTTCAATTGAGAAAAAGGAAGGAATCTTGCAAATACCATAGTGAGTACTGATGCCACTGATAGAGCTATCCACTTTAGATCTTGAAGAAATACAGCTGCCAATAAACCTTAACTTCCTCCAACATCCAGTCTCCACGGAACCACCTCTCTCTTTCTTCTTCTTCTTCCCCTCTGATTTTCCAACATCCCAAGATTCCACCTTTTCACCATCACCTCCTCCAACTAATCCCATCTTTCACAACCCCTAAAATAGAACTCAGATGGCATCAAAAAACTCCCAAAATCACACCTTTCACCAAAGGCCCACCTCCCCCTTTCCCAAAGCCCTCAAACAAATTCCCCAACTAGCCCTTATACAGAACTCCTATTTCCAACAAAACCCGACAAAAATCATCCAAAATAGCTCAAACCAGGTTCAGTAAATCAGCCAAAGACTCTAAAATACAACCCAAATACCCGAAAGGGCCGCCAGAAATCCCAAACTTGTAGGCCAATCCTTCGAAAACAGTTGAAACAGCTCAAGCCCAGTAGGAAAAACCAACCAAAGATCACAAATTTGCTCCAAAAGAGCTCAAATAATCAGATCACATGTTTGATCTTCAACAAAGTAGAAAACTTTACCCCCAGTTGAGGAATAGAACAGATTGATAGTGCAGGCAAGCAAGCAAAGCATAGTAAAAAAACAAAAAAAAAAAAACAGAGCTGGAATCAGACAATAATTCCAGTTCAAAAGTGCCCCCCAGAAATGTCTGCACCTCAAAGATATCCCAACAAAAGAGAACTATTATTCTGACCAATTCAATGCTCGAAAAAGAAAAAGAAAAAAAGCAATTTATTTTCTCTGATATGTATGCGTAATGTATATACACCTCTGGAAATGAGAAATAATTATTGTAATGAAATGTGAATTATCGGTTCTTACATTTTTTAATAGAAACGAAGACCGAAAAAGCTAATGTGGAGCTGCCCGGAGAACGCGGGCAGAAAAGTTGAATTTACGTAAATAGTTATGAGACTGCTAACTATTTACGGGTTAAAACTTAATAAATAGAAACCAAAATTACTTGAACAATAAAAACGGAGGTCATCGGTGATAAAAAAAATTAAAAAATTCATTCTTCTTGAACAAATTAAACCAAATTTGTACAATGTCTAATAGAAATCAATTCAAGCCCTAAAGATAAAGTATAAGGCTTAGTTTGGGAGTTTATGATAGAAAAGAAAAGAAGGGAAAGCTTAAGTCACGAGAGAAGAGATTGTTATATTGTTTGGGAGTTTTGAGAATTAGTGGAATGATTTTGGATATGGAAGTCATTAAATATTTATTCAAGGCATTTTTAAGGACAAAATAGGCATTTTAGAAAAATTAACAAGCTTTCTCCAAACTTTCTCTCCATTTCTTTCCAATTTGGGAGGAAACATTTTTGTCACTATTCATCCTCTCATTTCCTTTCTTTTCTTTCCTACTTAAAACTATCAAACAAAGGAAAATCACTCTTTCACCTCTTTTCTCTTCTTTTCTATCCAAATCATTCACTCCCAAATGAACCCTAAAGCTTGAATCTTAATATAACCGAATCAAGTCAATTGAGTTTAATTTGATAAAAATTTAAATCTTTCACCTCTTTTCTCTTCTTTTCTATCCAAATCATTCACTCCCAAATGAACCCTAAAGCTTGAATCTTAATATAATCGAATCAAGTCAATTGAGTTTAATTTGATAAAAATTTGTTTAAATTTGATTCAAAAAATAATCAAACTGAATAGGGACACAAGTTTAAATTTATTAAGGAATAAAAGTATTTTTAAATTTTCAAAATGCATTTTGATTGCATATTTTGAGAAGTTCTTAAAAAAAATTACTATAATATTTTTTAAAATATGATGCACGCGAAGAGAAAATATCAAGTAAAAGGAGCAAACATTCACAAAAACTATAAATATTTGTCTCTAAAAAAATTCCAATCGCACCTTGGCTAAAACTGAGAGCAGGCTTCATTTAAAATCCACGAATTAGCGCTGCAAGAAAAAATACCGAGGCTATTGCAAACGTTTTAGTTGGAGGGGCAGTTTTGGAAATTCGAGCGGTATTGAAGAGGAGAGCTGTCAGTTTTCAAGAAGTGAGAAGTGGAAAGAATGGGCAGCCTGGGCACGAGAGAGTATAAGAGGGCGGGACCCACATGTACGGTGACGTGCCCGCCTCAAGTGTGCGGACGCCAACACGGGCGTCAGGAATGATATTAAGGGCATTTTTCCTTAAATCTTAAATTATTTTTCTCTGTTTTTCCACTAAACGGAAAAAAGCCATCGTGAATTCTATTTTAAAAGCTCTCGTTGATCAAGCAGATTAGTGGAGAAAAGAAGTGAAATTCCAGACCATATGTGGTTCGTATTTTCTCAAGAAAAGAAAAATGAGAAGAAACACGAATCATTTTGAAACATAAGAAATGAAGGGCCCCGTCGGATTTTTAGTTCCGCAAAAATTTTTTAAAAGTGATATTTTGATATTATTTTTTTTATTTCATATACATCATCACATCACATCACATCACGTAGTTACCATCATGCATATTTCTATAAAAAAAATTTTAAAATAAAAAAAACAAAACTCTGAGACAAGGAAAACAAAATGAAATTTAATCATATGATTAGCAGCCAATGAGTGGGATAACTTCTAAGCACCGGCTTAATAATAATTACACAAAAAAGCAAACAATCTGCCAAAGCGAAGATTCGAAAGTTGGGGAGGGGCACAGTGAAGGGAGTCTGAAAACAGCAGTGCCCCCATCCCTATCTTCTATGCTGACTTGGATAAATGAGTTGCACCCTTCTTCAAATGTTGACCATCAAAGTGCGAGTAGGTTGCGGCAAAATTCCTTTGGTTGCTTAATTTTCACCAATATTATTAGTATTTACAAGGGATAGGGGGGGGGGGGGGGGGGAGAGTAGACTTTAATGGGCACATAATGATATTAAAATAGAAAATACGATATGGGGTTGAAATGGGAGCATAGCATGTGAAAGCCACCCCTGGCTTGGCTGGCTTAGATTAGGTTTTTCATTCATTTATTATCTACCAAGACTGCTGCTGCTGCTGTGATATTTTTGTTCAACAATTTTAGGGAAAGGAAGTTGCAGTGATTCACCAAATTCTTTGACTTTTGATGATTGACAAAAGGTTTATTTGCATGTGAGGGTGAGGGTGAGGGTGAGGGTGAGGTGGGGGCTTTCTTTTTCTCTGAAATTGAGGGAATTGAAGAAAGCCATGAAATATGTGGATTGAGTTGGGTGATATTGAAGCATGAATTGGAAAAATAACTCGTTGCAGCAAACCACTTATACATGAAACTGCAAAAAATAATAATATTTAAAAAGTTTCAAGTATGATTTCTTATTTGGATTGTTATTTTTTTTTCTTTTATTTCACATGTATTATATCGTTACAGTATATATATATATATTTATATATATTTTTTTTTTACAAACTTTTCAAAAAAAAAATTATCAATTCAAGCATAATTATACGCTAGAACGGAAATGCATCCATAGATCTAGGATGAAACAACAGACGAATTGATCTGCGAGACAAGAAAGAGGATGTGCAAATTATTCTGCAACTTAAAACCGTACAAGTGTAATAAAATGTAACTTAATAGATCAGGCTGGAAAACACTACTGTAGCGGATTTTTGTCAAGGCTGAGTTGACTTGCGAGCACTATTTTATTTGCTACTGTATAACTGTAGAATACGATAAGCTGATGGTTGTTTCAACATATATTTTTTTTATAGAGAATATCCCTTCTTAATTTGTATTATAAATTGATAATGTGACCCCTCTGAAAGTGAAAGCTACTACTAAATGTTAACGTCCATGTAATTTTTATCTTATCTCCCCTTATTGTGATTGATGTGTGTCTTTTTATTTCTTTTACACCAAGCCGTGAAAATAATGGACCCATGCTACATTCTTCTACAGTGCTATTTGATGTTCAAGGACATCAATTGCCACAAAATGAACTACACGCTAAACCTCAGGTGAAAATGGATGGCCTGCCCTGTCTGAAACTGAAAGCCCAAGGACAACTTGGTTCAGTTTTTTGAGTGTTGATTTACATTCTCCAATTTAGAGGCAAATCCGCAGCAATTAACTCGAATTCTCCTAGGAAAAAGGTTGACACTTGCAAAGAGATAAACATCATCCCAACGAGGAGAGAACAGTTGATAAAATCCCATTGTACTTTTTATCTTTTCTTCTTTCTCCTCATCTAGTCTCCGAGTGAAAAGAACAATCGAGAGTATGCACGTCGCATGACAATTGTTGATGGCAAATTGGCCACTTGACAAATCTCCAGAGAACGACTGGACTGCAGTTGAATCTCCAGTGTCTTTCAACTACAGTCGGATTTTGGCACTGTCGAATATGATTGTGGCTCTGCTGCAAATATCCGAAAACCAAACCTTATAAAAAGCACCACTTGCCCGACTACTACTAGCTCAGGTTTCCATTAAGAGTTGGTGCAACTTGCAAAAGCAATCTTCGCGAGAATAGAAAAATGCAGACATTGGCAGAGGAACAAAAGTTTGGTCAGGGAACCATGCCAAGCTATAAACCCACGAAGCTCTATAAAGGGGCAGTCTCAGCCTCCGAATGGGATTTTATATCCGCAGCTGCAAGTATTCCCGGATGATGTCTTAGGATCAGAACTAAAATTTTGCAAGAGATAAAACTACAATATTCCAGTAGCCACAATGACATCTCATAGAAAACATAGATTACCTCAATCGAATTTGTTTTTTTAAAAAAATAATAATAATAATAAATCAAAATGGCCCCGTACATATTCACAATGAATGAAAACTCAAATTGAAAATTTGAGATATTGAATTATTTTTCACGGAACTCAATTGTACAAATACAGCTTTAACAGCATATCTCCTATTCTAACCTTTACTTGAATCTGTAAATCGTACATGACTATGTATGCCTGTTTGGTCTCTACACCATTCAACAGTCCGTCAGACCATTCCTGTGGCAATGCTAGACGTAGCATTAATCTTTAGTGAATGCTCAGGCACATAGGTAAGCCCTGCCAAACACCAGAACAAAACAAAAATGGATAAAGGACATAAACAAGGTCATATACCAGACAAATTACATATAAGCCTAGTCTGTATAGCCTTTACAATTCTACAAATTGAAGAAACTGCATACATCAAAAGTGAAAACCCAATCGAATTGGTAACTGGTATCAACACCAAGTCATTAACTCAGAAGCCATCCTTGACCCCAAACAATCAACATTCTTTGTAAAATCAAGTGTTGCAAACAAATCTCCTTCCCTGTATCTGTGCAGTTTGCATCAGGTAATTATTGCAAGAAAATTTTGACATCTTTTGGCTAAATGTTCCTAGACAACACTTCTGATTGTTTGCTTTTCGTCAAGCTTCTTTCATAGGTTAAATCTTTTGCTTTTTGAGATAATTTGTGTTCATAATCACTGATTGAAACATATCAGAGTCAAAGGATGATATGCAATACTTCACTACTCATCTTGGTTTTAATACAAAAACCTTATAATCTCAAGAACAATCACAAAGAAAAGATATGAACTCAACAAAAGGACCCAGAGATACCTTTCTCCTTAACGCCAATCTGCAAAGAATCAAGAGCAATGATTCCATCCCTCAAAGGAAGTACCTCAAGCTTGATAGTTGATGTACACTGAGCAGGAATGCATCTGAAGCAACCAAGTTTAGTTCAAGAGGGGGCAGATTGAAATTGAGAGGAAAAAAAACACTACAATGGTGTTTTCTGTATGTGCATGTGCGTGTGAAGGAAAGAGAGGGAGATTACCCAAG